GGTGATTCATGTTGAGTTAACAGACGTGTCATTTCCATTCATTTCCTTGTTTCCTTCGGCCGAAAGCGCTTTGATCGACCCAACTCTCCAAACAACAGTCCATTCATGCGTCCACCCGTGGACGACTTCTCACGTGACAGGAGTTGGCAAAGGAGAAGGCGGCTGGAGAGTGGTGGAAGAGGGTCTCACTGTTTGACGCAAAAGATCAGAAAAGATCAGAAAAGATCAGAAAAGATCAGCAAAGATCAGCAAAGACCAGAAAAGATCAACATAATATGTCACTATGTCGCTTTGATCTTGCAAGATCAAGACTTTTGGGGTTCTTAGGGCTTAGGGCCCTGAGTCCAGTGCACGTGCTCTGTATCATCAAGTCCAAAATTTTGCATTTTAGTAAATTCACTGTGCAGCATAGGGGACGACCGGGGAAAAAACGGCAGCTCATTCCACGAGGAAAGTTATCGAGTGATTGCGCTCATTGCAGCTTTCGCCACAGGGAGCGGTGTTGACAGAGCTTTCTCCGAGCCTCTTGAGAGAAATGGTTGTGGAGGCATGGGCCAGGGATCCTTTGTTGCTGGCGGTGTCTCTTTCATGAAGTACTTCATATTAAGTTGGACACAAATGACAGTCTATAGGTAACACGTGCTTGTTCTGCCCCGAGGTGCCAGAATACCTTGGGCGATAGTGCTAAAAGCAGGATCGCTTCCAATCATCCTGATCATTTATCAGAGCACCTGTTTGGCCGCGGACTGTTCATTTGCCCCAAAGTCATTTAGACTTAGACACGTTGGTCACCGTTGGTCTCACCAAAATCGCTTTAGGTGCCGAGCGTTGGCAATGAGTTGGTGCGGGTCTTTCCGAAAGCGGAGGCGCTTGGAGCCGGTGGGCAATCAGAAGCGCTTGGCTGAATCATGTCATTTATAGGTGCTGTGGGTGAACCGGAAATCCCAGAAATTCAAACAACGAAGTCACCGTCTACAAAGAAGGTAGACCCATCTGTTGGATGCGGGTTTTGTTAGGATGTGTCTTTCCACAGGTAGGCAAGACATGGGATTCAGATGAACATACACTTTCTGTGTGACTCGTGGCCGGCAACTAGACCCCGCCACCGGAGGTTCATGAGATCATCAAAGAAGTTCCGGAGATCGAATGTCAGGTTGGTGTTTGCTGTCCTTTGATGGGGCATGTTTGGTTCCGAAAAACAATACCTGTCGGGTGAATGACACACCAAAAAAGGGAACGCAATAATACTTGGCTCATCCTGGTCTGGAGGACCATTGTGACCAAACCGGCGGATCGAAAACCGTGCTCACGAAAATAGAGTTTTTCAAAAAAATGCTTGTTTTACCACAGCGAGGTAACGATTTGTGTCATTGAAAAAGTGACAAATTTGGACGTCCAAATCTGGGTGTTTTTTGGGGATTTTTTTTTACCACAGTAAAATACATTTTTTTGCTTCATTTCGATCGGACAAAATGAGGCATTCTTTTTTTCATTCGAGCTTGTGCAACATGTCTGCAGTCTTCTGGAGCAGGTTCTTGTACTTATTGACGAAGCGCCATTGCCACATTTTGGCATATAAAATGAGATCTTTGTGCCTGACACCCAAAGCTTTTGGGGTGAATTGCTTGCAGCTCGTCCACGCAGCAACAATAGTGCCTGTGTATGGCAAGCATTCCAGAGATCTCGGCAGCGTAGCAACATATAACGTGGCAAGCATTCCAGAGATCTCGGCAGCGTAGCAACATGTAACGTGGCAAGCATTCCAGAGCTCTTGGCAGCGTAGCAACATGTAACGTGGCAAGCATTCCAGAGATCTCGGGAGTGTAGCAACATGTAACGTGGCAAGCATTCCAGAGATCTCGGGAGCGTAGCAACATGTAACGTGGCAAGCATTCCAGAGATCTCGGGAGTGTAGCAACATGTAACGTGGCAAGCATTCCAGAGAACTCGGCAGCGCAGCAACATGTAACGTGGCAAGCATTCCAGAGCTCTCGGGAGCGTAGCAACATGTAACGTGGCAAGCATTCCAGAGCTCTTGGCAGCGTAGCAACATGTAACGTGGCAAGCATTCCAGAGATCTCGGGAGTGTAGCAACATGTACGTGGCAAGCATTCCAGAGATCTTGGGAGCGTAGCAACATGTAACGTGGCAAGCATTCCAGAGATCTCGGGAGTGTAGCAACATGTAACGTGGCAAGCATTCCAGAGATCTCGGCAGCGTCGCAACATGTGACGTGGCAAGCATTCCAGAGCTCTCGGCAGCGTAGCAACATGTAACGTGGCAAGCATTCCAGAGATCTCGGGAGCGTAGCAACATGTAACGTGGCAAGCATTCCAGAGATCTCGGCGGCGTAGCAACATGTAACGTGGCAAGCATTCCAGAGCTCTTGGCAGCGTAGCAACATGTAACGTGGCAAGCATTCCAGAGATCTCGGGAGTGTAGCAACATGTAACGTGGCAAGCATTCCAGAGATCTCGGGAGCGTAGCAACATGTAACGTGGCAAGCATTCCAGAGATCTCGGGAGCGTAGCAACATGTAACGTGGCAAGCATTCCAGAGATCTCGGCAGCGCAGCAACATGTAACGTGGCAAGCATTCCAGAGCTCTCGGCAGCGTAGCAACATGTAACGTGGCAAGCATTCCAGAGATCTCGGCAGCGTAGCCACATGTAACGTGGCAAGCATTCCAGAGATCTCGGGAGCGTAGCAACATGTAACGTGGCAAGCATTCCAGAGCTCTTGGCAGCGTAGCAACATGTAACGTGGCAAGCATTCCAGAGATCTCGGGAGTGTAGCAACATGTAACGTGGCAAGCATTCCAGAGATCTCGGCAGCGTAGCAACATGGAACGTGGCAAGCATTCCAGAGATCTCGGGAGCGTAGCAACATGTAGCGTGGCAAGCATTCCAGAGATCTCGGCAGCGTAGCAACATGTAACGTGGCAAGCATTCCAGAGCTCTTGGCAGCGTAGCAACATGTAACGTGGCAAGCATTCCAGAGATCTCGGCAGCGTAGCAACATGTAACGTGGCAAGCATTCCAGAGCTCTTGGCAGCGTAGCAACATGTAACGTGGCAAGCATTCCAGGGATTTCGGGAGCATAGAAATATGTACTGTACGCACTAGACAGAACGTTAACACCCCCACCCCACCCCAACATAACCCCCCACATCCCATTAGCAAAAATGTGCGTTTTATGAGCACGGTTTTCGATCCGTAGGCATGACCAACTGCAGAAACTTAGAGCAGTGAGTAGCGATAAAACATGAGGTATTTGCATTCTGAGTACCCAATCTTGTAGAATTGAGAGCCATTAGTGGATATGACATTATGAAATTGACAACTCGGCGGTTCTTGGATTGACAGGCAGCTGGTGATCCTTCTGCATCACCTCGGCCAATCATTTGAAGGAATTGTGATTGTACATAGCATGAAAGGTCAGAGGTTGCTCTCGAAGGGGAGATGGATCCAACAATCAATGATGGCTCTGAAGACGGGGAAGCAACAGCTACATTTACTGATTTGCCCTGTAGAGAACCTTACACCCGACTGATGTGTAGCTCTTATGCCGTGATTTCCTGCGCGGAGCATTTCCACAGTATTTGCATCAATTCTTTTCTGTTGACCGCGTTCTGGATCCCTTTGTTGCTGCCGTTTGAAAGCTAATTACAGCAATTTCGGGGCTAAAATCATCGTGCCATGCGCAGCATTTCCGGAGCAAAAAATCGATGCGCGCGCTAGTCGCACATTTGGAAGCGGCAGCGACAGAAAGCCCGTCATTTATTTGCAAGAGATTTGAAGCGCCTAGTCATGTCTATCAGTCTATCATTCAAAAGCACAGAGCAACCCCAGATGACTGCCACACTACCCTTGGTGAAGGCGCGACAACTAAACTCGGTATTCCCTTTTCTGGCTTGCTTTCTTTCTTTTGGTTTCCTTCCTTTCTTGATTTCGTATTCCCTTGTTCCTTGATTTTGATTCAATCGGTTGCTCCCTTTGGTCTTCTCCTTTCTTTTCTCCTCCTTGAGGTTGGAGGTCTGGCGCCTGTCAGTTTCTTTTTTCGACCTCTTTGATATAAATTCCTTTGATATGCTCGGTGAATTGCCTTAAGCAAAAATCTTTTGTACAGCAAGCGCTGATGAGCCACCAAAACCCAACCTGCTCTCATGTTTTGGCTTTTGGACTCTGGAGTGATAGATACCGTGTCAAGAATGAATCACACAATACACATCTTCCCAGAGAGTGCAACATAGCTGACAGCGGCGTAATTTGCATGGGCATCCCTTGCAGAACAGCCAATGTCGAGGTTTCAGTTGATTCCAATCTCCAAGAACGTCACGAATACGTACAGCAGTGCATAGATGACGTCTCATGCAGAGATGTTGCAGAATCAACTGGGAGATCGTGTCAGGGCGGCTAGGAGGATCGCTGCAGGGTAAGAGCTGCAAAGTCTGCACTAACCTGCGGCACAGGCCGAAACTCTGGTGGAGCAGGTCAGAGCAGTTGATAATCTGATTGTTGCGGGGTGGCCTCAGGCATGGCCACCGCTCAACTGCATCCAATGCCAATGACGGGCGGGGGGCTTCGATCCAGCGCACTTGGAATGATCATGGCATAAATAAAGAATTTGTGGTATGGAGCTTGTACTTTGAGATGTTGAAACCATCAACTTCCAACAGAATGTTTATCTTGCAGTGCCGCGTTGCTCCCCATGGCTTTGTCAATATGACAGGGCCTGCCGCGTGAGGGCTTGAAGCTTTACAAGCCTGACTCCGCAAAAATGTTTTGCTCCGGCAAGTTTTGCGCCGCCATCTGGGTTCTGCAGTGTTCTGCAGTTTTTCAGTTGCGCATGGGTTCCTTCGGATCCGAGTGGACACCGTGATATTTTCGTTTCTGCCGCTTCTTGGCTTGCAGTGGAAGAATTCCGGCCGTGGCCGAAGGCTGCCTCCCCAGCTTTTCGAAGGTGGCTTCACAGAAATTAAACCTATAACTTGTTAATAACATGCTCCGAGGTAAGAACCTGGCAAGAGCCATGAGTATGACTTCATTCACTGTGCCCTGGCTGCTGTTTACAAGTCAATGCGCAGTTTTCACCCATTTGCCACTTGAAAGCCGTCGGACTCATGTGACTCCTTGTTTGCCAGCCAGGCGCTTAACGCCCACTTTAGCCGAGAGAGTTACTTGCACAGCACTGCGGCGGTCTCAGCTTTCTTTTTTCCTTTCTTCTTTCTTCGCATATAAACATTATGATATTTATAATATGTAGTAACCTTTTTCATGTATTCTTAGGGTCTATTTACCGGGTCATGACGGTCATGGTGCTTTCTGATCTTTTTGTGCCCGCATGCCAGGTGTCAGCAACACAAGAAGATTTCATCCTTCTGGGTGAGGTGCTTGCAAAATCTGAAGTGGCTGCAGTCAGAATCTGAAGTGGCTGCAGTCAGGTGGACGAAAGGTTTTTTTGGCGACTGCTGGCAGGTCGGCCAACTCCCCGACCGTGACCAATTCCCCCATCTGGCACGTCAGGGCCTCAAGGTTCAAAGCGACCAAGGAAGACGGGTGGCCCCGGCTGGCCAGGTTGGGCAAAGCACATCGGCAACCTGGCAAAACTTTTTCCATACCGACGCTGGCCGGCAGCTGTCGCCATCACCTCAGCCTGAAATATTTTGAGCACCCATTGCAACAAAACCTCGTTCAATGTCAAACAGATGTCACAACTTTGCCTCGGCCGGGTTGATTTCCTACATTGTCTTGCAAGGGGTTTGCGATAGTTTTAAAGACTGTGATGCCTTGCATGGCATTCGCGGCAAAAATTGGCCGCAAGGAAAGATTCAAAAGCGCCACCGGCAATGAAATATCATGGTATATATGGTGGTTCGCCCGCAAGCTTCCCCTTAGTCAATCTTAAGGATGTGTGCGGCAGTGAGGACGGCCTTCGGGAGTGAGACCATTGTGTCCTCTGATTTCAAAGCACTCTGACACCATTGATTGAAAGTCTGATGGGAAACGCAATTCAATGCTGGTGTACTTGCTTGGCCACAAGCATGGCGGTCCGCCAGTGAATTGCGAGGAAGATCTGGGCGCCGTCAAAGTTGGCCCGGTTTCCGTTGACGATTCCGAGGAAAGCCCGGTGCCACCACCCAAGCCGGACCCAATACCAGCGCCAACGCCTCTGAAAGAACCTGAAGGAGACCAGCCATTCAAACAGGTTTCTCGTCTGGACGGGTGAGATTGAAGAATGGCCGTGAAAATGTTTTTTTCCAGATCCGAGGTTTTGAGCTATTTGAGTTGAGGTCCCTTTGATGAAGCCATCTTTGACTGAGGGCGGCGTCGCCAGAAACTCAAACATGTTTGCAGCAACGTTATGAAAAACATATGTTGAGAAAATTCGCAAGACATGTTTGTCAAACTTGATGTCGAAGCCCCTCCTGTTGCCAGGACACTTGCATTGAAACCGTTGCAAAGCGAAAGTTCAAAAGAGAGTGGCAGGAACTGAGCCGCCGGATCCTCAACGGTCGGTAAACCGAAAATTCCCCTTGAGAAGCACTGTCTTCTCAGGCGATAGCAAGGCTGAACTTGCCCAACGAATGGCCGGACACCTGATGGAGAGACCTTTGCAGCACGCGCCTGACGCGGCCAACCTGCCGTGAACAGATCTACATTCAAGGCGTTGACGAACGGCAGGTGATGATACGTGATATGTTGGCTGAAATCTGTAGGTTATTTATTATAGTCTTCTCATCCCGGTTTGCCTTTGTTGCCATGAAGGCTGCCGATTTTGTAGACCTTTCCCCAGCGCTGGGGAATGCTGAAAAAGATTTGAAGAAGAGACCCAATGCTGAAAAAGTGCAGCAAAAGGGACAGTGCCAGGTTTGTGTTTGCAAACATACATTTGAACACAGCGGTTGTCACATCAACATATCGGCTTGTACTTCTTGTATACTCAGAAGTCCTCCATGTTGTCAGGAAAAGCCATCCAATGTTGTGACACGTCCTGACTTTGAATTGGGACTAGACATGCATAGCGTCCACTCGCATGCATTCATGTGTTCCATTGATCGCGCTTTCTGAACACCGCTAGCGTTCCACCTTGGTCACCTTGGGCCCAAGATGGTCCAAGTCTTTCGGGCGCTCAAGTCGTGCCATTTGCAGAGCAGATCAAGACTGAACTGGAGGAGTTGGGGCCTCAGTCTTGCACAGCTGTTTTGTTTGTTGGGCTGAGAGTGTTAAAAGAATGGAAATAGCACAAGGAAAGCAGCGTTTGTCATTCCATTTTCCATTTTCCGCAGCGGTTATGCTGTTTTCACCGGTTTCGACTTGATCCGTGCAGGTTCAAGCCTTCCGTTGGTCAAAGGCCTCCGCAAAGATGGAATGGGACAACGACATTGGAGTGGACGAGTCCAAGGACGGAAGAAACGGACGTCTGTGGAACTTTGGGCCATGATTCTGAACACAACATTGATGTAAGTTGGATTTGGTTGTACTTGCAGGATGCTGGATTTAGGGCTTGTGAACTTTGTCAACGAGGTGTTTTGGATTGTTCCCCACCTGCCAGGTGAGGGTTGTTAGATTTTATCAGAGCTGTTCTCCTCCTCCTCCTCCTCCGCCTCCTCACCCGCCGCCTCCTCCTCGCAGTCCAGATCCCAGTGGGCACAGCCGGACCTCCACCGCGAGCTCCAGATCCCAGTGGGCACTGCCGGACCTCAACCGCGGGTTGCAGATCGCAGTGGGCACTGCCGGACCTCAACCGCGACTTCCAGGTCGCAGTGGGCACTTCCGGACCTCAACCGCAACTTCCAGATCGCAGTGGGAACTGCCGGACCTCAACAGCGACTTCCAGATCGCAGTGGGCACTGCCGGACCTCAACGGGAAGAATGTCAGATAGAATGTCAGAAGATATGCCAGATAGAATGCCAGAAAGAATGTCAGAAAGAATGTCAGAAGATATGCCAGACAGAACGCAGAAGATATGCCAGAAAGAATGTCAGAAGATATGTCAGATACAATGTCAGAAGATATGCCAGATAGAATGCCAGATTCTGCCAGATAGAATGCCAGAAGATATGCCAGATAGAATGCCAGAAGATATGCCAGATAGAATGCCAGAAGATTTGCCAGATAGAATGCCAGAAGATATGCCAGATAGAATGCCAGAAGATATGCCAGATAGAATGCCAGAAGATATGTCAGATAGAATGCCAGAAGATTGCCAGTAAGAAAATGTATAAATGTCATGGCGGGGATCACACGAAGTAAAGTAATTTTTCTTGAGCTCTTCAGTTGTGACCAATGCTGTCTGAGGTCGCAGAGGTTGGTGACTGAGGTGGAAAGGAGTACGGCTTGGAGAAGACCCTAAACAAGATGAAGGCGTCACTCAAGCTGTTGGAGTTCCTCTTCAATGCTTCAATGCTTCAAACAATGAAGTCAATCAAAGCGCTTTCCATCAAAGTTTTTTCGCAGGCAGACTGGAAGCCATTGTCCTTCGACCTCTCGGAGAAGTACAGGGACAGCAGTGGGGTGCGACTATCAGATCAGAAGAGGGCGTGTAGCAATGCGCATGCAATGCACTGTCTGTTCTCTACAACCCGTATGAAGAATGGGATGCACTTGTTCTGAGTTTTGGCTTTGAAGCCTGTGGGTTCTGCTGGACGAATTCAAAGGACCTTTCAAGGAAGACATCGATGAGTGCGGCGCCTGAGATTTTGAATTGTTTTGAACAAATGCCGGGTCAACCTTTTGACAACTGCAGCTCGCCAGATGAGCTGGAATACGGGGTTCATGCGCGAGTTTGAAACTTTGAAAGAGTGGCGCTTCTGGCGCGTTTTGTGTTGGTTGTCATTTGGACTTTGGACTTTGGACCTGCTTGAATCCCCTTATATACTGTAATTATACTACTTTCAGATGACTTAAGCACCGTCGGGCGACACCTCCGACATCTTTCGCCTATGTCATCTTCAGTAGCCAAAGTGGTCATTTTGACCACGGCAGGACTGACATTCATACCTTTGATCTTTGCATGTATGTGTCAATTGCGTGTATACATGAAAAAGATCCACAAGTCTGTATACATGAATTTTAACTGGTTGAGTGACACCGTCGAAAAACCATGCAAACCATGTTGTTGATATAAGCACCTGCCAGCCGTGTGAGGTTGACCCGTTGCATTAGTAACAACACGGCTAGTCAACTTAGTGACACAGTCTGATTCGACAAAGCTTTGAGGCCGTTTAGTTGGGCGTTGCCCTGGCAAGACCCTCTGTGGCGCAGCAAGCCGAAGGCATGCACAAGGGCGGTTTGGTTCTCAGCAGTGATGTCTCTCAGACATTGAACAGCGCCAGGCTTATGCTACTCATTTGGGGCACGAAGGTGCAGGATCGATGACCCTTGCCATTCAAAATTTGGGGCGCCTGTTGCATTTGGAAACTTGGAATGAATGCCACAAAGTCCACACGGACTAATGCCATTGCATTTTCACAGATTTCACAGATGAATCTTTGTGTGGCGCTTTTCCTGATGTTCCACCACTCGTTTGTCCTATGAAGATAATTCCGCACATTTTGGTCAACAGCATGGCACGGCCCCATGTGGTCCCTCCCATTTATCAACTGTTTGGTGAATGAATTTCCATACTAAGGATTGCTGTGCTGAAGGACAGTTCTGCTGCGAGTCTAACCTTGTGTGTCTTTCAGTAGGGCTGATTTCAGAGCCAAGTTGAAATCCACCAGATCTTGGGTACCAATTTCGGCGCCAAATCGCACCTCCTCAGCTGGAGACTGGTTGGAGGCTGGTCCAGTAGCTTGTTCAGTTGAGTAACTTCCGCCTGTGAATTCACCGTGGTTTGTCTTTTTCCCGCACAAAGTGACCAAGGCGCTTTCTAGTTCATTGCCTTCTTCGCCATTCAATGTGCCACAAATTTGGGGGGTTGGACCCTGGTTTCAGACACACCCAAATGAATGATTGTTGCTATTATATCTCATTGATATCCCATTGCTGTTTTACACCACATTTTCCCAACAAAGTTTGACTCGACTTAGGCAGGAGATGTTTGCGAGTCTTGGGGAGGTCTCCCGCGAAAAGATCTGCCGAGGCACTTGGCTCCTCCGGGCGGGCTGCCCAGATTTTGGGTGTGAGAATGGTAAAAATGGTAAGGCAAAAATAAGATAAGCTTCGGTGGTTTCCCCAACAGCCGCAGCTTTTTTTTTTGCATGTTTTTTCTGAAGCGTGCTGCAACCTCAGCCGGTTTCCCTCAACTAAATGGCTGCGAATCCTGCTGAACCTGACTTGGCTCTGCACCAAAGCCTCCCACACCTTCTCCGGAACCTTCTCCGGAACCCTGTTGAACCTGACTTGGCGCTGCACCAAAGACTCCCGGAACCTTTTCCGGAACCTTCTCCGGAACTTCTCCGGAGCCCTATTGAACCTAACCTGGGGAACCCTGTTAAACCTGACCTGGCTCTGCACCAAAGCCTCCCAGACCTTCTCCGGACCCCTGTTGAACTTGACAAAGCTTCCCAGACCTTCTCCGGAACCTTCTCCGGAAACCTGTTGAACCTGACCTGGCTCTGCGCCAACGCCTCCCAGACCTTCAACGGAACCTTCAACGGAACCTTCTCCGGAACCTTCTCCGGAACCCTGTTGAATTTGACCTGGCTCTGCACCAAGCCTCCCCGAGCTTCTCCGGAACCTTCTCCGGAATCTGCTGAACCTGTTGGACGTGACCTGGCTCTGCACCAAAGCCTGCCCCACCTTCTCCGGAACCTTCTCCGGAACCTCGTTGAACCTGACCTGGCGCCTGCACCAGTGCACACCGGAGCTTTTCTGGGCTGAAGACCCCATTAGCTTACGCTGTTGGGGAAAAATACCGGCCTTGGGCTACGCCGGATACGCCCCAAGATCTTTTGGTTCAGAAGGCATTTATGGAGAAGTGGATGAGGCTGTGCAGCTGATGTGCCATTGACGTGCTTGGAGGTGATGATCGTGGGCAACCAGACATCTGAAGATGCGCGGCAATTGGCACGAGAACTGGAGGAGAAGAGTGCTTTCTCCCATGTGGATGCGCCGGATGCAAACACTCTGCAGACATGCTGATTTGATAGGCTCAGAGGCAGTCCAAAGGTGGTACGGGCGGACTGTTTCACATGCTGATGGCTTGCGCCAAGAGTGCCAGCGCCATCTTGGAATTCCATGGGCCGATCTCTTCTGCGGCCCGCAATTTTGCATCAATCTTCAAATATGTTCAATATAATATCGAATTTGTTTGCACTGAGGAAGGCCGTACGGGCTTTTTGTTATCTTTTGTTGACCATACTGCTTTGCATGGCTAATCCAATATAGTCCCATGTGTTTTGTTTTTGGGTAGATCCAGGAGCGTGGCTGAGAACGGTGTTGGTGTGCGCGCCTTGTAGCTTACTTCGGTGGTTAGCAGAGAGAGCAGGAAGTAGAAACACGGGCAGCCGCTTTCATGAATTGGTTAAAACTAATGAACTAATGCACATCATCAAATGCTACGTTTGTCACAAGAATTCTCAGCTTGCTGTGTATTGAGTTCGGGTTCATGACATGCCTGAAACATGTCGCAGCCGTCTCGGCTGAGCGAAATGGGATAAAGATCGATAAAGCTTTTTGAGCCCACGTGGAGAACCGTGGGGAGGTGAAGCCGGTGAAGCATGGTGAGGCCACGGGATTGTGGCATAGCCTTCGCACTTTCCATCATCGCACTTGCACTTGCAGCACATCCAGCACTTGCAGCACTTGCAGCACCGCAAGAATGCGACGAGGATTTGTGCCATATGTCCCATCTGCAATTGCAGGTCAGTGGCATTCCAAATGCGACGAATTGGGCTGCGCTTGGC